TTATTATTATTATTATTATTATTATTATTCATTAGGCTAGACCAGAGCCGTCTAGAGCACCGCCCGTACCCCCCTGGTTAAAACGAACAAAGTCCAAGACCTTCATGCATGCAGGCTTGCTGCAATCACAACCTCGACCCTCATTAAGTGCAGAGCTAGATGCAAGGCGGTGAGGAGGCTACAAGCCGTTTGGTTAACTTGTGTAAGCCTCTCTGACAAACCACAAGTCCCTATTCGACATTATCATCATAAGCTAGGAAGATTTTGGGCTCTTACGGCTGCGTCTAATATTTGGTCCTATTGCCCTATTGCCCTATTGCCCTATTATCCTTCCGTGGCCTTGGCCCATTTTGATGTCAACGGTACACATGTGTTAGTTAATTTTGTTTTTGTTTTCGTTTCGGTCCTCTAACAGTTAGATGTCCTAGAATAGCTTTATTGTCCGCTAGATAGCCCGATAACCCTAGCAGCCCTAGAGCGTTCCAGTATCAAAACCCGTATCGACTCGGTACCTGGTACCTTTAACGACGAGTGCAGAATCTGGAAAGAACATCCAAGATACTCGGCCGTCAGGTCACAATACAACTAAACTAGGGGAATCCTCCCATCTTTCCCGCAACGGCGACTCCCACCGCGACTACCGACAGCTCCCTCATCATTGTTTCTTGTCGAGCTTTCCCCATCAACCTGCGTCTACCAGTTCGGGTCTAGAAGCCCGGTCTACTATCCTATCCACCCACATTGTCGCTCTTGCTCGCACCACCTTCTTACCAACTAATCACCACAACCAACCGCTGTTACTTACTGCCTATTACTTTTACCACCACTACATTCAAAGTGTGTATGAGCGTGCGTGTGCGTATGTGTGTATCTTGTTTGTTATTATTATCATAATCACCATCATAGTCACCATCAAAGTCATCATCATCATCATCATCGTCACGACTCTTTCATACACCATCCTCCTGTTCTTATTTCTAGCCATCCAGTCCCGTCCCTTGTGTCCTTATTCAAACAACGCTAGCCCTTACTAGTTTTACAATATTGTATCCATTCCAGTCTCTACCGCCCTACCTTTTTTTTTTTTACAAGGATCTATCAACATCTTACCCTGGGTTCGGGTTGCCTGATCTGAATTTGGGTACTCAAGAACAGGCACACATCCCACCTTTTTTCCTGCCCCTGTTACTACCTTGCCCCGTTCATACGGATCCCTTGTCAACTTCTGCTTTTACGCACTTCACTTGGGTTTTCTTGTGCGACAGTATTGCCGCTTGAGAAGAGAAGATCCTCCAACCTTTCTACAACAACACCTCTTTTAACCAATCTTGTTTTTCTTCTTATTATTTATTTTTTCCAATTAAAACATACGCTCGTTTGCAATTGACTTTTCACACATTTTACCCTCCGTCAAAGCATAGAGTTACCCACTTCATTGTACCCCGTCCTTAGACAGCAACACAAGCCGAGCCTATCGTGCTCGCCGTTGTTACTTGGATCCCTAATAAAATCGTGCCATCGAAAGGGTCAGTTATATCCCCCCTGGCGCAGATCCTGGCTAGAACCGAGCAACGCCTCTAGTCACTTGCTTGCTTGCTTCTCCCTCTCATAGACGGATCAGCTTGGACCAGAGAGAGAGAGAGAGACCCTTAACTCTTTCCCTTTCCCTTCTTTATCAGGTACGCTAGTCTCGAGTCAGTCTGCTCCAGTCTGCTCCAGAGTGTGGCTTTCGCCACTAACACCGTCTGATGACCTGCCCCACCAGAACATGGACTCGGGATTCCACTAACTTGAGCCGAACTTAGGAACAACTTGACTTTTAGTTTCTTGTTGATTTTCTTGAAAAAATCACCGCTGCCGTAGGCAAGCAATCTAGGCATCGCAGTCAAGCAGTTGCGGGCTCTACTGCTTGAAGCAATTGGGGGTCGTGATCTTTTGCAGCTGCGGCAATGACCCAGTGCAAGCATTGTCGTCAGTAATATGTACGTCAAGCACGCCTTGCAGCATGCAGTGCAATGCTCAAGTCCGATTTGTACACTTTTCTTACGTATCCGGGAACATTATATGCTGACCTGCACGTTTCACAGAGCAAGATGGCGGAAGTCATCATCAACCCTCCCGACTCCCCGGCGGAGAGGGTTCGAGACGTTACTCAGTACCTTTACCCGGATCTCCTCCTGCTGGTCTTCATCCTCGTCGGCGCCACCCACTCCGTCTACACCGCTATGCGTAAGGACGACGTAGTCGTGCCTACTATCCGAGGTCCAGGCGGCAAGCCGCTTCCCGTTACCAAAAGAAGATTGTCCGACGACGACGCATCAGACCCTGATGATTTCAGCCCACATGCCAGGAGGTTTTTTCAGTGTTCTATGGTTATAGCAACCTTGACCTTTCTCGCTACGGGCGGCGCAATTGCTGCCCGTGCTCTGATTCATAGGAGCGCGGATGGTGAACATGGCTGGTGGTGCGGCGAACCGAAAACCGTAAGCAATTTTTATTTTGTTTTGTTTTGTTTTGTTTTGATTTTCTGTCCTACGGTTAAAATTAATTATATTGAGATGACTTTTTAACTTTGTGCAAATTATAGGTCTTCGTCCTTGGATCAGCATTTCTTTATGTGTATTTGACTTTGACGATGTTTGACTGGAAAAGCAGCCCGAGCCTGGTCCATATCCTCACTTGGAGCTTTGCTCTTGTTGGGGAAATCATCATCTTCGTTTGCGACGCGGTGGTCTTATCCCGCCCCCACAAAGTCATGGTTAACCTCAGTCGCGAAAAGTACGTGATTGTAGATGGCATCGACAAGTGGGACATGATTGACCTCGGCTTATCCCTCGGAAGAATCGCCACTCTAGTTGGCATGATCCTAGTTTATTATACCATTATCCTCCTAAGAAACCGGGCGCAGCCAGAGAAATACGAACATGGACAGGAATATGATTACGAGGCTGACGAATCCACACCCCTCCTAAATGGCGAGGCCAATGGCTACCGCACCAATGGGCATGCTTCCCACCCGGGCGCAAACGGTGCCGCAAATGGCAACGCTAATGGCAATGCCGATGCGAGCCACCCCATGGTTGACGAAGACGCTGGGTTCTACCGCCCGGAAAAGCTACCGCATACCACCTGGTTTGAATATCTCCGGGGTTATTCCGTCTTTTTCCCGTACATGTGGCCTAACAAGCAGCTGCGACTTCAGATTATCGTGGTAGTCTGCTTTGTCCTACTAGTTCTTCAGCGGATGGTGAACATCATGGTCCCTTACCAGATCGGTGCTGTCACGAATCAGCTTTCCGGAGATGATCTTAAGGAAGGCGAGAAGCGCACTATGCCGTGGCTCTCGCTCGGCCTGCTTATCGTGTATAAGCTACTGCAGGGCCCGTCTGGGCTTTTGGGGTCTTTGAGATCTCTGCTATGGATTCCCGTTTCCCAGCACACGTACCGAGCTCTTACCACGTCGGCATTTGAACACGTGCATTCCCTGAGCCTCGATTTCCATCTAGGCAAGAGGACCGGTGAGGTTTTATCCGCATTGAACAAGGGCTCTTCGGTCAACTCCTTCCTCGAGCAAGTCACATTCCAGGTCTTTCCGATGCTTATCGACTTGTTTGTAGCTATAAGCTACTTCTACGTTAAGTTTGATGCCGTCTACGCCGTCATCGTTTGCGCAATTACATTCTATTATTTGTTTTTGACAATACGCATGGCGTCCAAGACCGCCGACCAGAGGCGAGCAATGTCCAACGCGGATAGGGAAGAAGAAGCAGTCAAGAATGACTCCATCATCTCGTACGAGACGGTCAAGTATTTCAATGCGGAAGACTTCGAGTTTAATCGGTACAGAGAGGCCATAAACAATTTCCAAGTCGCCGAGGCCAAGGTCACGTGGAGTATAAGTACCATGAACATTTGCCAGTCCTTAGTCTTCATGATAGGGATGTTGGTTACCATGATGCTTGGAGCGTACCAGGTTACGATGGGTAGCCGAAAAGTGGGTGACTTTGTTACATTGATGATCTATCTGGGCCAGCTCCAGGGTCCGCTCAACTTCTTCGGCACATTCTACCGTACCGTTCAGCAGGCTATGATCTCTGGGGAGCGTCTCCTAGAGCTCTTCAAGCAACGCCCGACAGTGGTTAATCGTCCCGGTGCCGTTGACGTCGCTTCGTGTGAGGGCCGTGTCGAATTTTCTAAGGTCAAATTCGCATACGACAAGAGGAAGCCTGCGTTAAGGAACCTCAGCTTCACATGTGAGCCCGGCACGACCACGGCGCTTGTCGGCGAATCGGGCGGCGGCAAATCTACCCTTTTCCGACTGATGTATCGCTACTTCAACTGCCAGGAGGGTAACATTAAGATAGACGGCCGTGATATTAAGGATGTCACTATCGACTCTGTCCGACGCTACATAGGAGTAGTACCGCAAGATACGGTATTGTTTAACGACACACTCATGTACAACCTGAGATACGCCAACCAGCATGCGACCGACGACGATATCTTTGCCGCATGCCAAGCCGCCAGCATACACGAGAGGATCATGTCTTTCCCCGACGGCTATAACACCAAGGTCGGAGAGCGAGGTCTTCGCTTGAGTGGCGGTGAGAAGCAGCGGGTTGCCATCGCCCGAACCCTGCTTAAGAATCCTAAGATTATCATGCTGGATGAGGCTACCTCGGCTCTTGATAGCCACACAGAGCAGCAGATTCAGTCCCGACTAGCCGCCATCGGTCGCGGCCGTACATTGCTAATCATTGCGTAAGTTCCCACGTCGTATAATATGTGATGATGTGATGAAACTAGGTCAGCTAACCGGTTTTAGACATCGTCTGTCTACTATCACCCATGCAGATCAGATTCTTGTGCTGCATCAAGGAACTATCGTCGAGAAGGGTACGCACGATAAGCTTCTTGAGCTCAACGGTCGATACGCATCCATGTGGAATCGCCAGGCAAAAGCCGAAAAGGCAGCCGAGGACGCCCGTAATGCGACGCGTAAGGCTGAAAAGCTTTTGCGAAAGGCTAATATCCCTGCGGCTTCGGGAGACCATCACAGCCGAACCGAGCACTCCAAAAACAACAACAACAACAACAACGACGACTCGAGCAGCTCGTCTGACGAGTCGGTTACTCCCGGACGACATGGCGGCCAGTCGGAATCTACGACGCTGGTTGAAGGCTCCCCTCGATCGACCCACTAATTCTAATGTCCACTAACTTGGGCTCGATTCATGTCCATATTCCCATTTTCCGCGATATATAGTTTTTATTGCCTAATAAGCTTCTCACGCCCCGGGCTGCCGGGCATTGCATTAAACATGGCGTTGGTGGCATATACAGAAAAAGACGCCTCCACACGGGAGGCTGTCGGCGGCTTTGCATTTCCGGTTATCACGATTCTTCGCAACGATACCAAAAAGACTTATGCGGTTCTGTCTTATTTAATTCACTATCGTTGTTCGCACAGCAGACGATCAGTCATGGCCCTTTACATGAAAAAAAAAAGTTCGGGCAAAGACGGGATGGAACAGGAAGGAACGGAACGGAAACAAACCAATGTCGGAGGGGGGGAGGAAGGGCTTCTGCTTTTTTATTATTACACATCTTTTTATTTTTATTTATTTTTTGGTCCGGATCAAGTCAGTCGGGTTGCTATTGGCTATTGGCTATTGGCTATTGGCTTTTGAACGGTGGGCGGAGTACCACCTTAATGAGACGACGATGACGGGCAGCATGAGACGAGATGATGAGAGGATGAGAGGAGAAATGTGATTTACTCAAGGGAGGGAAACGTGTATTGCAAATGACTTAGACCCTACAGGTGGCTTTACAGCCCCATCCACAAATACCGGAAGCTTTCTCTCCAAGCTTTACGAACAACGGGGTGGCGACCCGATTCCGTCCCGTTGCTTGCTACTAGATTGTGTGTGTATACGAAACCGCGTGAGAGGTTCAAGTGAGGCTGAAGATTTCTTACTTTGGTTGCGTGGCAGTTTGATGATTGATGTTACAGTCTTGCAACCCATAGAATTCCAAATCCTTTTCCGTCACCCCAAGACCCCAAAAACCCAAACTGGTTCCAAAGCAACCCTCCCCCCCCCTTCCCCCCTGGTCCGGGGTGTTTCGCTCGCGTGCGGCTCGCGTTTCTTCATGCCGGCAAAGCGGGAGATCGGCCATGATGGCTAATATAAATCCGAACCCCTATCTCTTACCTCCCGGGCAGCGTTGCATTTTTTTTTCTTTCGAATTTTTTTTTTTATCTCTTTCCCCTAGGCTAGGTAGGGATTAGATGCCTTCTCCATTCTTACCTTGTCCTTGCCCTTAGTAAGTGCAGTATGATGTGATATACGCAGGTAGGCAGGTGTAAAGTGTATGTATGCATGCGCGTACCTGCAGCAGCAAATGGCCCTTGCAGCGTTGCTTGTCTTGTCTTGGTTTTTTTTTTTTTGTTTTTTTTCTTGCTGCTGTGTACTTCCTACCGGCGGCAGGGGAGGAGGAGGAGGGGGGAGGAACTATGTACGTGGGCAAGGTGACGGGATAAGATTTGCGTAGAAGGGAATAGTATGGAAGCTGAGTGATGAATGTTACGGTGTGAGGGTAAGGTATAGTACTACTTCGGAACACTATACTATACTATACTAGTTATACTATAGTATACTAAGACATGAGATGGGATTTAGGAAGAAGGGAAAAAAAAAAAGAAAAAAATAGAAAGAAAAAGTTCCGGCTGCCTTTGCCATGTCATCGTGCCTTGAAATTTTTTTTAGGGGTCCTTCCCGCTCTGGTCACCCGCGGTCTCGTGCGGTATATACTTCCATACATATTTCCATACATACATACCTACCTACCTACCTACCTACCTACCTAGGTACTAGACAAGCATGAAACACACGCACGTACATGGTTAGGTTGGGTTAGGTAGTTTGGGTACATACGCGGTACTTGGATCCTATGTAATAGGAAAGTCTACCAAGAGGCGGCGGCGGTAGCGGTATTCCTTTTTTTTTTTTTTTTTTTTTCCACATTTGTTATAGAAGCATTTGTTATAGAAGGATTTACTATAACTACTATACTATAACTAGGGTATTTTTGGTGACTTATAGCATGACAAATACACCACACTAGCAAAAAAAGGGCCGTCTACTCTAACCAAACTAGCTTCCTTTACATATTCCTTTATTCCTTCTCGCGGCTCGCCTACCCTACCCTAAACTAAACTAAACTAAACCGTATACAGGTACGTAGCTTCTTGCCTCGCTCACCGCAAGCCGCCGCCGCACCACCACCGCCCACCCGCCCGCTCGCCCGCGCTACGCCACGCCAACCACGTGTACATACTCCGTCCTCGGAACCGGGGACCAACGGACCGACTACCTATGTACCTTGTGTGTTGCTAGATTCCAGCTTGACCGCGTGTTTACCTTTCACTCTTTCACTCTTTCTATGTATGTATGTACCTACGTATGTACAATCTCCTCATCGCCTCCATACACGTATCTGCCCAACTCCATATATACCCAACATACCGTAGGTACCTTAGGTACCTACCTACCTATCCATGTAAGTCACTAGGTTAGTCACTATGTACATAGGTTAGACATACATACATACATAACACTAAGCCAGCAAGCCAAACCCCAACGTGCCGGCCACCAGGGTCTCGGGACGAACGACCCGCGCCCCCCCTTCCCGCCCAGCCAGCCAGCCAGCCAGCCAAGAAGCACGCACGCCCTAATGTAGGTACGAAACACAAATAACGGTCTACGATACTACATACCTCCTCTTAGCCTATATCAAGGCGTATCTGGGGGACACCAGCTTCCGGAATATTCTCTGGAACACCGTTGTATCCGGGAAGAATACAGAATTTTCTTCAGTGCATGTGCATAGTAAAATCCTCCCCACGACTCTCGGCCGAGTCCCGCCCGAACGTGCACACGCACGCACGCACGCTCTCAAAACGTAAGCCGAGGCAAAGGAAACGGAGCAGACGCGTCATATCAAGGGTCTCGGTACGGCTTAGACGAGGCGGGTCTTTCCTTACTATCGCAAGGGATCCGTCCATCCACCATCTTTTATTAATAATTATATATATATATATATATATATATATGGGGGGTTTTGGTTATGGGTTTTAACTATCGTACGTAGGAAGAGGTAGTAGAAAAAGACAAAAGCAAAAAAAGAACGGTCAAAATGCTCTTTTCTCATCATGCTATGCTCATCGTTGGTCAAAGTCGTTGGTCCATCTCTCCGTCATTAGTACATTAATCAGCGAGACAGCTCCCGTAGCATCCATACCAAGCAAGCAACAGCAAGCAAGCTCGTGGAGGCTGAGCGCCCCAGACAGATTAGTCCCAACGTGTTCCCTGACCTGCCGCAAACCAACGACTTCTCTCATCCCTGGGTAACGTACCCAAGCGACCAAGAATCCCCCCCATATGCGCCGTTCCCATGACCCGTGAGCGAATGGCTTGGGATGCTAAACCCCATTCTCTGAACGCCTATGCCTATGATCGTTTAGACAGGCCGTCAGGGAACATACTGGTACCTATTTTCAAGGGAAATGCGTTATATAGCAATTCCCGCGGATACCAATAGTCTCATCTACGCCCGCCGTTTATGCTGAAATCCTGTATCGTGTTGTACATACAAGCCCCCTACTGGTTAAATTTTTACAAGCGAATGTCATGAATCGAAGGTAAGAAGCGGCGAACGTTCTATCGAGCCGCCTTCTTTTTCGACGCCGACGCTGACCCGTTCGAGCGGGTCTTAATGCCGTTTGCATTACCATTCCCGTTAGCATTGCCGTTAAGCAACGGCGTCGCTTCGGTGCTCTCCTTAATCGCTTTCGGTGTCTCTGCCTTCTCGTTCTCTGGCTCGTTAATATCGGATTCTTCAGCCTCAGAACGGTCGTCGTCCGCTTCGTTATAGACGATGAAGCGATAGGCAATCCTCACGATGAAGAAAAACCAGAACAGGTTGAGAGCCTGCAGAGACGAGAGGAGCGTAAGAGTGATAACGAAAGCAAGTTCACATTTGTACTGTCCGGTTTCCCAGTTTAGCTCGTAAGGGCCGACAGTCCTGAATTCGGTGAATAGTGAATAGATAATGCGAAGGTTGAGATAATGACGTAGGTAGGCCCATGAGGTCATAAAGATGAAGAAATAAGGTCCCACTAGAGGGTGGTCAATGTAATTGAGAGTTTTAGATGTCTGTTCAAATAAATCTATTAGTATTACACGTGGCAACTTAAGGTACCCGAGGGCACGGATCAGACTTACCGCAAGGAAGAAGTCACTAATGTCGTGGGTGATGTAAACAGCCAGACCTATGTACGTGAAATGAAAACGGTAGCTTAGCCCAATAAGCGTCAGACTAACGATATGGTGGCCAACGAGCTCCTTGTAATCCTTCCGCGGCTTTTCTATGCCAAGCAAGAGGACAATAGCCTGCTGGGCCCAGTAGGCGGCCTGGAATAGATAGTAGAATTTGAACATGGCCTCGTGCGTCTTATGAGGGAAGTTCTCATACATGCCGCGGGTATTGAAATACCAAACAGGGGTTCGGCTCATGACGTACATACCGGTCGGTCCCAAGAACCCGAAATAGATGGCGGTATACATCTGCTCTAGGAAACGCGCCTGTTTAGCACGCGACTTTAGACCGGCTCTCCTGGCGAGCGGGCGGAGAAGTTCTTGCATGATAAACTCGCGCGTAAAGGAGAGGACGACGGTATAGAAAGATACGAAGGCGATATCCCACCGCCCCTTGCCATATTGGACAGGCGCTTCGGGATCAGCACCGGCCTCGGGCGGGAGCTTGTACGAGAGGAAGATGAAGTGATGAACGGGGTTCGATTCGGTCGGATTAATGGCGTACACAAACAGGGAGATGACCAAGAGGACTAGGGGTAAGACCCAAGTATGCTTGAGGGCGTAGTGCTTGCAGCGACGCAAAAGGGAGCGGGCTTTGCGACGCTTTGAACCCCTCCTAGAAACTTCCTTGCCATCCGGTGTGGAAGGCTTTTGCGTATGTCCATTTGTATCTTGAAATGTCGCGAGACTCGCCTGCAAACTAGGCGCACCTGTGTCTCCCACCCTGATGTCCGTACCAAGTACGCTCGATTTCCTACGCCGACGCGCATTCCCCTGATCAGCCGCCGAGTGTAGTTGGTCGGCCGAGCTATTGAGGATTGGAAATGGTTCCTGGGGTGCCATTGTCACAGAGGTCGATCTCGTCGCAGAAAACTAGCTAAGACGAAAGGAGCTGCGAAGATAGACACGCAGCAGATGACGTGAGGACGCCTACTAATAGACGGTATGAGCAATTGGAATTTCCGGCTTTGACGATCCCGGCTACCTAGTCGATCCCAGAATGCTTAAGGAGTGAAAGCAATCCAGACTTCTAGTATCGATAGGCGGGAAAAAAAAAAGAATTGAGGTGGTTGTTGGAGAGAAGAAGGAAGAGGAGGTAAAAAGTTACGGTGGTAGTGTCAGTGGTCGGTTGGTCGGTTGGTGCATGAGAATTGATAAGATTTGACAGGTCTGATAGGTCTGATAGGCAGATTAGCATTAATGGACTAGTACTAAGCCCCGTTAAGAGCTCATATTTATGCTTTTAAGTGCTGTAGGTAAGATTGTGCAATAAAACTTTTAAGTTGGACCCTTTTCTGCCAGCAGCCAGGAGCACACATAGCGGGGCAAGCATATGATTTCTGCAATCACCAACTTTAATTAGCACTAAGGCTTTTGTCGTTTTTGATTGGTCACTTTCTCTCTGCCAAGATTGATGTTACCGGCTGTCAGGCTATATGCCGGCTCCACCTACTTATACGCCTTC